CGACTACTCTATATTGAGTTCTTTACCAGCACGGCGATGAGGACTACTGGGATTGTATTACGACTCCTTGCATGCTGCGTGCCGTCGGCACAGAAACCATTGCAAACTCTGCGGCCAACAAGATGTGCATTCATTTGCAGTGTTCTTTGTGTTCCTAAGGCGCCAGGCACTGGAAAGGAAAGAGCGATTCATAGTTCTTCGAATGTAGCGCCCAGCAGCGCCGCGGCCCACTACTAGATCCTACGTCGTCGTCCTCCTCCTCCTCCTCCTCCCTCCCCCTTTCCGTTCTATCCTTCTCCCCATACGTCGTCCTCCTCCTTTTCCTCCCTTCTCCTCTCCCTCTCACCGTTTCCACCCCCTCCTCCTCCCTCTTTTTTCTCTTCCTGTGAACGCTTCGCTTGGTAGTAGTAGTAGTAGTAGTAGTAGTAGTAGTAGTAGTACTATTACTAGTAGTAGTAGTAGTAGTAGTAGTAGTAGTAGTAGTAGTAGCAGTAGTAGTAGTAGTAGTAGTAGTAGTAGTAGTAGTAGTAGTAATAGTAGTAGTAGTAGTAGTAGTAGTAGTAGTAGTAGTAGTAGTAGTAGTGATAGTAGTAGTAGTAGTAGTCGTAGTAGTAGTAGTAGTAGTAGTAGCAGTGTCCCTGCTCCAACACCTCGAGAAATGGGCGCCAATCCTTCAAGGGCGCGCGTCTAGGTGCGAAAGGAAATACTTGCCCGATTTACGAGGAAGGGACATGGCACGGGAGGGTGCGTAGCAGCATCCTAAGTTCTCTCTAGTCCCCCCCCCCTCCTCAATCGTTCGTTGACGGTTGAAAGGCCCGGCGAAGGCCCCCGGGGCCGAAAAGAACGAAAAACTTACATTTTTTTTTTTTTCACAGCGCCCGATCTAGGGGATCGTCGTCGTCCTCGCCGCCGCCCCCACCACGGCCTTCTCGGGAGCCCTCTCGAGGGCCTCTTGACTCTTGGGGCCCTCTCGGGAGCCTCTTGAGGCCCAAGCTGGCCCTAAAGAGCGCCCAAGATGGCCTCCACGCGCCTCCAAGAGGGCCTGAAGAGGCGCCCAAGAGAGCCCCAAGAGGGCTGCAAGACGGACCCAATTAGGATCACCCGGAAGGCCTCTGCCGGGTGATCCTAATTGGGTCCGTCTTGGAGCCCTCTTGGAGCCGTCTGGAGACCCTCTTGGAGCCTTCTTGAGGCCATATTGGGGCCATGTTGGGCCCCAAGAGGCTCTCAAGAGAACCCCAAAAAGACTCCAACTAGGATCACCCGGCAGAGCCCTTCCGGGTGATCCCAATCGGGTGAGTTTTGGGGCCCTCTTGTGGCCCCCCTGGGGCCTCTTAGGGCCTCTTTGGAAGCGTCTGGAGGCCATCTTGAGCCATCTTGGGGCCAGCTCGGGCCCCAAGAGGCTCCCAAGAGGGCCGCAAGAGGGCCCCAATTGGAATCACCCAGCAGAGGCCTTCCGGGTGATCTTAATTAGCTCTGTCTTGGCGCCCTCTTGTGGCGCTCTCCTGGGGCCCTCTTAGAAGCCCCTTGGAGCCCTCTTGGAGGCGTCTTCAGGCCATATTGCGCCATCTTGGGGCCAGCCTCATCCCTTGTTCCCCTCCTCAGGCCGTCTTCGGCCTCGGTTCGAGCGACGACGGCTCCTCCTCCTCCTCCTCCTCCTCCTCCTCCTCCTCCTCCTCCTGCTCCTCCTCCTCTCCTCCTCCTCCTCCTCCTGCTCCTCACTTCCGAGGGTTAAAACTGAGGCCAATCTGTGGCCTCAGTTTTAACCCTCAAGCGGGCCAGGTCACCGAAGGCCATGGCGCCGTTTGTGGACGTACGCTGTCCTTTCATCTGATCGCTCCTGATCGCTCCTCCCCCCCTCCCCCCCCCACCTCCCCGGCATCCCGCGCCTACCGCAAGCCGGCGTGGTGCCGGGCTGCGGCAAGACGGTGGCGGCGGTGTACGGCAGTGGCCTCAATGCGGGGGGGGGGGGCCTCCTCCTCCTCCTCCTCCTCCTCCTCCTCCTCCTCCTCCTCCTCCTCCTCCTCCTCCTGCTCCCAAGATGGCCCCCGCGCTCCTCCAAGAGGGCCTTGAGAGGCGCCCAAGAGAGCCCCAAGAGGGCTGCAAGACGGACCCAATTAGGATCACCCGGAAGGCCTCTGCCGGGTGATCCTAATTGGGTCCGTCTTGGAGCCCTCTTGGAGCCGTCTGGAGACCCTCTTGGAGCCTTCTTGAGGCCATCTTGGGGCCATGTTGGGCCTCAAGAGGCTCTCAAGAGAACCCCAAAAGGACTCCAACTAGGATCGCCTTGCAGAGCCCTTCCGGGTGATCCTAATCGGGTGAGTTTTGGGGCCCTCTTGTGGCCCCCCTGGGGCCTCTTAGGGCCTCCCTGACCTGCGCTGACCTGCGCTGACCCGCGCCGGTAACATCTCCGGGTTGAATGCGAACACCCTGTAACTTAGCTTAGCTTTAGCTTAAGCTTAGCTTTAGCTTTAGCTTAGATTTAGCTTAGCTTTAGCTTAGCTTTAGCTTAGCTAAAGCTTAACTTTAGCTTTAGCTTAGCGTTAGCTTGGCTTTAGCTTGGTTTCAGCTTGGTGTCAGCTAAGCTTTAACTTAGCTGTAGCTTAGTGTTAGCTTAGCTTTAGCGTAGCTTCAGCTTCAGTTTCAGCTTAGCTTTAGCGCAGCTTTAGCTTAGCTTTAGCTTAGCTTCAGCTTAGCTTTAGCTTAGTTTTAGCTTAGCTTTAGTGTGACTACTAATGCTACTTTCCTAGCGGGTCCAACTCCCAGGTAGGGTCGCACGGGGGTAATTTGTTTACCCAGGAGGAGGCGGTTCCGGCTGGCGCCCCGCGCCCCCTCTGGCGCCCTTGCTTCACGGTCCAGGGGCGGATTCGGGGAGAGTTGCGGGGGTGGTCTGGCCAGCGTTGAGGCCGAGACCTCTAGCCCCCCCTCCCTTCCCGACGATCGTTGGCTGGCCCAGCGCCTCTGAGTGGGCCGACGGTCAGGGAAGTGAAGGGGGGCGCGGGGTCGCGGCGCGGCTGGCCCCGACCGCGCCTTGCCGGCTTCTCGGGCTGGGATAATGTCTCGGCCCCCCGCGCCCCAGGGGTTCGAAGGGCCGAGGGGTCATCCCAGTCAGGAGCCCGGCCTTCAAGGCAATGGAAATGATGGCGGATGACTTGAGCGACTTTCCCAGCAGTGGCGTTGGATCTCAGTCGTCAGTCAGTGGCAGTTCGGATGACGGCGCCGATGGACCTGGAGGTGGAGGCGCTGGCGACGCCGGCGGCCCCCCTGGCGGCGGCGCGCCCCCCCCTCCGAAACCCGATGGTCCTGGTCTTCGGGCCAAGGCAGGCGCTAGAGAAACCCCTTTTGGGCCATGGTCAATCAGCGAGATTTACGACCGAGGCATTTGGGTCGGTTACGGGGCGAATTGCAGGTGCCACACGAATACGTTCAACCGTGCCGAATCTAAAAAACCAATGAGATTCTGTGGTGACTCACCTCAGCGTGTGCGATGCCTGCTGAAGATGTGGTTGCTCATGGGTCTGGAGATCCGCCCCGACGCAGCCGATGGTCAGCAGCAGCACGTGCACAGGACCCCGCCGGGGGCGGAGGAGGGCGCAGAATGGGAGGCGAAGGGGTGCATGGTCCATGGCGAGGACGGGCGAAGACGGAGGAGCAGAAGGACGAGGTGGAGGATATGGGATGTGGATATGGAGAGGCAGAGCCAGGAGGAGGTTCACCCACTCCACAGGAGGTGGAGGAGCATGAGGAGGAAGAGGGGAAGAAGGAGGAGGAGGAGGTGGAGGAGGAGGAGCTAGAGGAGGAGCTTGAGCTGCGCTGGGGAGGACATGCAAAGGAGGCGGAGAGGATGAGGGAGAGGAGGAGGAGGACGGGAGCTCGAGGAGGAGAAAAGAAAGGAGGGAGTAGGGGGATGGGGGGGGAGGAGGCGGAGGAAGGAAGGGGAGATGGAGGAGGAGGGGGGGGGGGGGGGGGGGGGGGGGGGAGGGGGGAGGAGGAGGAGGAGAGGAGGAGAAGGAGGAGGCGGAGGAGGAAGGAATGAGGAGGAGGAGGGGGGGGAGGGGAGGGTGAGGGGGGCGAGGAGGGGGTAGGGTGGGGGGGGGGGGGGGAAGGATGAGAAGGAGGAGGAAGGAAGGAGGAGGAGGAAGAGAGGAGGAGGAGGAGGTGGAGGTGGAGGAGGGGGAAGGCGCCGCCAGGATTCAGCGCCACCAGATCGATATCAAGCCAGAGGAGGAGCTGGACAGGTTGGCCGCCGCCGCGTAGGCGGGGTCGCGGGAAGGCCCCCGTCGCCCGTCGCGCAGAACAAACGTGTGAGATTTATCGCCGTGCCCCGCCCCCTGAGTCCATCCCCACACGCGCCCTGCGTGGGCGAGGAGGAGGAGGGGGAAGAGGGGGGGGGGGGAGGGGGGGAAGCAGGCTCTTGCACCCTCGTCGGCCGTCCTTGCCACGCGGGGTCGCATCGTTCGTGGTTGAGTTCTCCGCCGGGATCTGTTTTCACGTTCGATTCTTCCAGGGGTCGGCCCGCCCGATCGCCGAGGGCGCGCCCCGACCCGCGGGGCCCGTGGCCCCATGGCGGCCCATGGCCCATGGCCCCATGGCCCATGGCCTATGCAGGCACGCGCAGTCATTGTCAACATCGGCTCGTCATTTTAAGGCCCAGACTGCGCCTGCCTCGCCGCTTCGAGTGTCGGGCCGGGCGAAAGGAGGGGATCGGGAAAGGGGGGGTTGCGAAATTTGCTGCATGCAGCTGGTTTCGGCCTCGCCGAGGGGCCCAGTCCTCGATGCATAGCCGCCTCCGGCGCCGGGAGGCGCCGGGCAAATCAGCTACGTGAGCTGATTCTCACCCCCCCCTTTGCTATCCCCCCCTTTCGCCCGACCCGGCCCGAGAGTGGGGCGGCCCGTGCCATGGCCGCTGCCTCGGCAGGCTCTGGGCCCGCAGATGCTCTCGCCCCTGCTGGCGCCGCGGCTGGCGATGACACCGCGCCCCTGAATGTGCTCGTCGCCCGGAGGAGAGCCGACGAGAGCCAGCGGCGAGGCCGCAGTGGAGGCGACGAGGAGGGCGCCGCGGGCAAGCACAAGAAGGATAAGAAATCCAAGGGCGGCAAGTCCAAGGGCGGCAAAACCAAGGACAAGGCATCGAAGGAGGTGAAGAAGGACAAGTCGTCCAAGACAAAGTCTAAGGAGAGTCGGCCCAAGTCGGCTGGAGAGGGACATCCTGAACGGAAGCAGCCCGCAAAGAAGGAGAAGAAATCCAGAGGCGACGTCGAGGGCAAAGAGGGCATGGCCTCCGAGGGGCCCCCGGCCAAGGGCGCCAGGTCCACGGGCGACTGCGGCCACGCCGCCCAGGCGACGACTCCGCCCGCCGCGTCGACGGCGTCGGCCGCCCAGACAGCGCCAGCAGAGGTAGCAGCAGGGGGCGGCAGTGCACGTCGCCCCTTCGGCAAGGGCATCCCCGCCACAGTCGCCAGCGATGATGGCGCGGCCCGCGGCGGGCGCCAGATTGGCATTTCCGCCGCCTTCCGCGCAGGGTTGAGCAGGCGTCTCGCCGACTCAGCGCGATCCGCAGACGGCGGCGCGCGCCCCCCGTTCGCGAAGGCGGCCGAGCTCAACCCAGCAGCAGTTCCGCGCGCTGCTGGCGATGGCCGCGAGGAGGCGCCCAGCGCGGTTTGCGATGAGGCGACGGCCAACGGGGAGGAGAGGTTTTCGGCTGAGGCCCCAGAGAAGGACGCTTGCGCAGAGACCCTTCGGGCCACGCGCGCAGCCGAAGCAGCCCTGGCAGAAGCCAAAATCCTCAGGGCCGACGCTGCGCGGATGAAGGCAGAGGCAGAAGCCGCCATGAAGCTGGCGGCCGCGGCTTTGAAGGAGGCCGAGGTAGATCGACAGCGGGCGCAGCTTCAGGCGGCCGCGGGCGCTGAGCGGCAGGAGGAGCAGGCAGATGTTGCGGCGGCAAAGCGGCAGAAGACGGCAGCCGCTAATCGACCGCAGGCACCGGCAGCGGCAGCGGCAGAGGCAGCGCGGCGGCAAGAGGCGGAGGTTGTTGACCAGCAGTTGGCGGCGGCAGCGGAGCCTCAGCAGGTTGAGGCAGCGGCAGAGGCAGAGGCAGCGCAGCGGCAGGGGGCGGAGGTTGCTGACCAGCAGTTGGCGGCGGCATCGGCATCGGAGATGCCTCAGCAGGTTGAGGCAGCAGCAGGGGCAGAGGCAGCGCGGCGGCAGGGGGCGGAGGTTGCCGGCCAGCAGCTGGCGGCGGCAGCGGAGCCTCAGCAGCTTGAGGCAGCGGCAGAGGCGGAGGCAGCACGGCGGCAGGGGGCGGAGGTTGCTGACCAGCAGCTGGCGGCGGCAGCGGAGATGCCTCAGCGGGTTGGGGCGCGGCGGCAGGGGGCGGAGGTTGCTGGCCAGCAGCTGGCGGCGGCAGCTGAGCCTCAGCGGGTTGGGGCAGCGGCAGAGGCAGAGGCAGCGCAGCGGCAGGGGGCGGAGGTTGCTGACCAGCAGTTGGCGGCGGCAGCGGAGATGCCTCAGCGGGTTGAGGCAGCGGCGGAGGCGGAGGCAGCGCGGCGGCAGGTGGCGGAGGTTGCTGACCAGCAGCTGGCGGCGGCAGCGGCAGAGGCAGAGGCAGCACGGCGGCAGGGGGCGGAGGTTGCTGACCAGCAGCTGGCGGCGGCAGCGGAGATGCCTCAGCGGGTTGAGGCAGCGGCGGAGGCGGAGGCAGCACGGCGGCAGGGGGCGGAGGTTGCTGACCAGCAGTTGGCGGCGGCAGCGGGGTCTCAGCAGGTTGCGGCAGCGGCAGAGGCAGAGGCAGCGCGGCGGCAGGGTGCGGAGGTTGCTGACCAGCAGCTGGCGGCGGCAGCGGAGATGCCTCAGCGGGTTGAGGCAGCGGCAGAGGCGGAGGTAGCACGGCGGCAGGGGGCGGAGGTTGCTGACCAGCAGCTGGCGGCGGCAGCAGAGCCTCAGCAGGTTGAGTCAGCGGCAGAGGCAGCGCAGCGGCAGGGGGCGGAAGTTGCTGACCAGCAGTTGGCGGCGGCAGCGGAGATGCCCCAGCAGGTTGAAGCAGCGGTCGGGGCAGAGGCAGCGCGACGGCAAGAGGCGGAGGTAGCTGACCCACAGCTGGCGGCGGCAGCGGAGCCTCGGCAGGTTGAGGCAGCGGCAGTGGCAGAGGCAGAGGCAGCGGCGGCGCGGCGGCAGGAGGATGCAGCTGACCAGCAGCCGGCGGCGGCAGCGGAGAAGATGCCCCACGAGGTTGAGGCAGCGGCAGAGGCAGAGGCGCAGGCGCGCGGGCGGCAGGTGGCAGAGGCTGAGCGAGCGGCTGCCCTGGCTGAGGCCCAGGAACCCCGCGTGGCGATCAGCGATGCTGACCTCGAGACGGCGCTCGACAGGCTGCTCGAGGAGGGCGAGCCCAACCCGGGCGTCGACGCAGCGGCCGACCAGGCTGGCGAGGGGGGGGGAAGAAGGAGTAGGAAGAGGAGGGGGGTGGAAAGGAGCAAAGATCACACCCTCGCTGCAGACGGGCCGGGGCCCGTCGATCGGCGCCTCCACCTTCCAATCTCGCCCCGAGGTCCCAGGCCCAGACTTCGACGGCTGCGACACCCAGGACCTGCTGGAGAGATTGGTTGAGGTGGATGCGCGGATCGAGGCCTTCCGTTGGGACGAGGCCTTTGATCAGGCAGGCGTCCCTGAGGCCTCCGCCCTGCCCCCCCTCTCCTCCAACCCCGCCCAGGGGCCCAGGGGCCCAGGGGTGCCCGGGGGCGCCCAGGAGGCGCGGGGCTGGGGTTCGTCGAGAGAGGGCCGATCGACCGATCGACAATCGCCGATGGCCAGGCCATGTCCGACTCGCAGATTGCCGACGGGTCGCAGCTGCAGACTTGCTGGTCTGCGGAAGTGCACCGAGGTCGCGGCGAGGCCACGCGCCTGGGGGAGATGGGAGAGAAGAGAAGGAGGGGGGGAGATGAGGACAGGACGAGAAAGAGAAGGAGGAGCAGGAGGAGGGCGACGATGGGAGGAGAAGAGGGATGAGGAGGAGGAGGAGGGGGGGGAGGAGGAGGAGGAGGAGGAGGGAGAACGGGGGGGCGAGGAGGAGGAGGAGGAGGAGGAGGAAGACGACGACGACCAGCAGGATGAGGAGGAGGCTGAGAGGGAGGATGGGGAGGAGGAGGGGGGGAGGGCAGCGGAGCAAGCGGAGGAGAGCAGGACATCCCAGACGGCAGGTCTTCGCGCTCTGGTTCTGGCCCCCACCGCCCTCTCGGGCCTGGCAAGGGGCCCCGAGATGGCCCCGATGGGGCTGCCCCAGGACGCCCCAGGTCTTCGCGCTCTGGCCCTCACCTTGAAGATTGTCACTGAAGATCTTCGCGCGGGCAAGGATCTTATTTGCAGACCTTCGCGCGGGGGGCATCCCGGGCCTGGCCTGGGCCCCTGGGTGGCTCCGAGGGGGGGCCAGCCCGGGGGGGGGTCCGGGGCGCGCCTGGTCTTCGCGCTTCCACCGCGAAGATCTTCAGTGAAGATCTTCGCCTGCACAAAGATCTGATTTGAAGATCTCCGCGCGGGAGGCCCCCCACCCATTCCTCCTCCTCTTCCTCCCCCTCCTCCTCCAGCTCCTCCTTCCCCTCCTCCTCCTCCTCCTTTTCCTTCTTTACCTCCTCCTCCTCCTCCCCTCCTCCTCCGCCCCCCTCTCCCCCTCTCCTCCTCCTTCTTCCCCTCCTTTATCTGTCCTCCTCCTCCTCCTTCTCCCCCCCCCCCTCTCCGCCCTTATCCTCCCCTTCCTCGTCCTCCTCATCTCCCCTCCTCCTCCTCCCCCCCCTCTCCTCCCCTGCGCCCCCCTCTTATTCCTCCAGCCCCAAGATGGCCCCGAGGGGGGGCCCGGGCAGCTCCAGGGCGCTCCAGATCTTCGCGTTCTGGCCGCCACCGCGAAGATCTACAGTGCAGATCTTCGCCTGCGCGAATATCTTGAGTGGAGATCTTCGCGCGGGAGGCCGCTCGGTCCTCCTCTTTTTCCTGCTTCCTTTTCTTCCTCCTCCTCCCTCCTCCTCCTCCTCCCTCCCTCCTCCTCCTCCTCCTCCCTCCCTCCCTCCTCCTCCTCCTCCTCCTCCTCCTCCTCATCCTCCTCCTCCCCATCCTTCTCCTCCCCCCTCCTCCTCTCCCCCTCCCCTCAAGTTGCCACTTCCGAGGGTTAAAACTGAGGCCAAACTGGGGCCTCAGTTTTAACCCTCAAGCGGGCCAGGTCACCGATGGCCATGGCGCCGTTTGTGGACGTACGCTGTCCTTTCATCTGATCGCTCCTGATCGCTCCTCCTCCCCCCCCTCCTCCTCCTCCTCCTCCTCCTCCTCCTCTTCCTCCTCCTCCTCCTCCTCCTCCCCGTCCCCCCTCTTCCTCCTCCTCCTCCTCCTCCTCCTCCTCCTCCTCCTCCTCCTCCTCCCCCTCCTCCTCCGCCTCCTCCTCCTCCTCCCCTCCCCTCCTTTCCCCCCCCTTCCAGCCGCGCCGCGTGCCGCGCCCGCCCGATCTAGGCCGACGTCGAGATGGACATCGACGGCATCGTGGATGCCATGGGCTCCAGGCCCATGTCCATCAGCGCCGCCGGGGTGGGGCTGGCGCCCGCCGCTTGCTTTTCGGCAAGCCGCGCTGGCGGAGGCTTCCCAGGGGGGAAGGGGGAAGGGGAGGGCGGCGGGCTACAAGGGGGGAGGAGGAGGGGGGGAGGGGTCAGGGCGAACCGGAGGGGTGCAGGGGCGGGAGGGGCCGGAGGGCAGGGCGAGCAGGGGGGGGCGCGGGGCGGCGGGCGGAGGGGGGTCGGGCTTTAGTGAGAGCTGCGATATTGTTAGCTACATGCTAAAAGCAACGTGAGCCCACGCGCAAATGATATAGTAATGTTAGTTGCTGCCCATGCGAAACCGATGGTTTAATAATATGGTGCTGCCCGCGTGGCGCCTAATGTTTGGTAGTCGGGTAATTCGTAATTCGGGTGTTGCGCCAAATTTTGAGTGCGACATACAAATCAGGCAATTCTGCGATGCGGCGTTTATTCCGCGTTCAACGTGGCGCCCGCATCAAAGGTGGCATGCGGCATGCGCCACTTTAATTTGAAATCGCGCTTGTTGCCCTGATCTCGCGTTGGTCGTTGCCCCCTTGTTTTCGAATGTCCCTCGCGCGCCTGTGCGTGCGTGTCTGTTTCGGGCGCATAGCCCATCCGCCAAGCGTCCGAGACATATTATTAGTTTCGGAGGGAGGCGAGAGGGGCGCCCGACACATATCATTTTTGTCGGAATGGGGCCCTCGTGGAACCCAGTTGGACCCCCCCTGAAACATTATTGGGGCCCTTTTGCAGCCCGCCTTGTTTTTTTTTGTTGTTTTTACAGGCCCCAGAGGCCTCGGGGGGGGCCCAAAGGGCACTAGGAGGGGGGAGCACCCGAAACTTATTTTATGTTTCGAAAGGGGGCCCTGTAGGGGCTAGAGCAGCAGCGGCCGCGACAGCAAAGGCCGCGGCAACAGCAGCAGCAGCAGCGGCGGGGGAGCGCGAAACACGTGGCTTGACAAAATCAAAGCTTTGCGACAGTCGTAGAAGAGGGCGCGGGCGGGCTGCCCTCCTTAGGAACATGAGCGACCCACGAACCCGCGGGCAAAACGGCGGCGGCCACTCATGGAGGCCTTCTGAGTAGGGTTATCAAGTCATTGGGCAAGCACCTCACAAACCTACGCCCGCGGGCAAAACGGCGGTGAGCATTTTCTGACGACCGAGGGCAAGACGCGACGGCCAGTTCTTGGAGCCTTCTGATTAGGATCATCAGGTCAGTGGGCAAGCCCCCATTTCAAACCTACGCCCGCGGGCAAACCGGCGGCGGGGACATTCTGACGGCCGCGGGCAACGTGGCGGCGGCCAGTTCTGGAAGCCTTCTGAGTCGGGATATCAGGCGAGTGGGCAAGCGCCCGAAAGACGTGACATGCGCCCGCGGGCAAAACGGCGGTGGGCATTTTCTGACGCCCGCGGGCAAAACGGCGACGGCCAGATCTCGGAGCCCTCTGAGTAGGAATACCACGGCAATGGGCAAGCTCCCTCAAACCCTACACCCGCGAGCAAAACGGCGGCGAGCACTCTCTGACGCCCGCGGGCAAAACGGCGGCGGCCAGTTATGGGAGCTTTCTTGGTAGGGATACCAGGTCAGTGGGCAAGCCCCCTAGAGATTTACGCCCGCGGGCAAAACGGCGGTGGGCATTTTTTGACGCCCGCGGGCCCGGCGGCGGCGGCCGGTTCTCGTGGCTTGCTGAGTAGGGATCTCAGGTCAGTGGGCAAGCCCGGCGAAACCTTACGCCCACGAACAAACAGCGGTGGGCATTTTCTGACGCCCGCGGGCAAAACGGCGGTGGCCCAGGCAAAACGACGGCGGCCAGTTCTAGGAGCTCTCAGGATAGAGATATCGATGAGCATTTTTCTGACGCCCGCGGGCAAAACGGCGGCGGCCAGTTCTTGGAGCCTCTTGCGTAGGATCACCATGTCAGTGGGCAAGCCCCTTATAAACTTCCGCCCGGAGGCAAAACGGCGGGGCGCACCATCGGACGCCCGCGGACAATATGGCGGCGGCAGGTTTTTGGAGCTCTCTGAGTAGGGAATATCAGGTCAGTGGGCAGGCCCCCTAAAAACATACGCCCGCGGGCAAACCGTATCGGGCGTCCTCGACGTGTCCACGTCGCAGGTGATCGACTTCCACGGCTTCGTCCTGGACGTCCCAGAACCCACTTTTCAGGAAGGAGAGAAAATCGCAGCCGTCACCTTCGCCGACGCTTCCAAGACGACGCTGCCCATGAACTTCTGGGAGGAAATGATCAGCGACATCCCACAGGTGGCCCGCGGGGCGCCCAGGGCAAGGTGCTCTACGTGTTCGACGCGTACCTGGTCATCGAAAAGACAGGCGGTCGCCACATCACGCCCAGGAAGGGCACGACGATCCGCATCGCCGACGGCGCCCTGCCGAAGGCGAAGGCCATGCTCGCCAGCGGCCTCTCCAACGTCAAGCCCACCGACGAGGGCGTCTACAAGACCGGACCGCGACTACAAGAAGTTGCCCGGGGAGGGCGCATGCGTGGCAGACATCCACGCGCGCGTGAACAACACGAAGGACCTCAGCGAGAAAATCTACGACACCCCGTCCGCCATGATTACCCTGGAGAACCCCGACGAGCTCCTCGCACAGGATAGGGCCCGGATCTACGCCGCCATCTCCATCTCCGACTTCTCCGGCACAACGTCCGCAAAGCTGACCCAGTAGCCCGCTCTCGTCTTCTCCAGCGCCACAGACCCCAAGAACTTCGTCGAGCTCGCTTCCAAGGGCCACCTGTCCTTCGCACGCGGCCTCGTCAGAGTGAGCCGTGCGCCGTCCAAAGACAAAGTCCCCAAGCTCCACCTGGCGGCCGCTGCCCCCCGCCTGTTCGACGACGCAGTGCCGCGCCCCCTGCACCTCAACGACGAGCGCGTCATCCCCGCCAGCCTGGAACGCGTCGCCCCCTCCGCCTCGGGCAAGCTCGCCGTGTCTTGCAACGGGGAAGCCTTCTTGGCGTCTGGCGTCCTCGTCCTGGTGCAAGCCGCGCGCGGCCCACGCCCGCCTTGAGCCTTGAGCCAGCGGGCGGCGGCCACAGACAGAACGCGGCTGAACGTCGCCAATCAGAGGAGCAAGATGAACAGGGTGG